GGGACTCATGAACCAGTAACTGAGCCCCTTCTTTATATATATATTTAGACAATGTGGAGGCTGTATTTTAGGAGGATGCATTGGATGTTAGCTGCCATCCCTTAATGAGCTTCAAATATAAAAATATATGCCTTAATTTTCTACTAATTTTCTAGTTACCGTATGTACATTATACATCTATTCAGCAATCTGAATTACAGCCCCTAGGTGGCAGATTCCTCTTACAGATTGTACGTCACAAATTCATGTCTATAAACATAAATAGGAATAATTACTAATCTACTGCCTGATTTGACTGTAATATGTATAGAAAGCTTTTAGAAGTTTATATTCTAGGAAACACCTCGACCATTTGGGAAGGGATAAATAACTGCTGTACTATGCCAGAGTCAGAATTTTTTACATGTATAGCAGGTTCAATGGTTGTTAAAGGAACACTCCGGAAGGAAAAGTCAACCATTTAGTAGATTAATAGATTGTAAATTCATTTGAACAGGACCCTTTTCACCTCTTGTGACTGATATATTCTGTATGTAAATTACTTGTTGTCAAACATCCCCTTATCATAACAACATGTTGGGGCTATTTAATTGCTAGTTATCATAATAAATGGCCCTCACAAACACAATACCACTGACAACCCACATAAACGTACACGACCACATAAGCAGCCCTTACACATACACACTTGCAACCTAGGCGCCGAAAACTAGGCACCACAAGCCGCTGACTCTATAATTGTAAAGTGCTGCACTATATAAATGATAATAATAATAATATACCCCCTCAAAAATAGGCATTTAATATTTTTATTTTTATTTTGGGGGATATCAAAAAGCTAGTTTACTTTATTCAGCAGTAACTGCAAGCCCTCCTCTTTTTGTTCATCATACACTTTATCATATGTAGTGGACATTGTCCAATCAGAGGCTTCTTACTGAGAAGTCTTGTGTATATATTGCACATGCATGCAACTGGCCTATTATACACTTCCCAATGACTGTATTACAGCTTACTACAGGCATTGAGATTGTCGCAGTCCATCACTAACGTTTGGAACTTTAATTAAAAACTTGTGAGGGAGGAAACAAACAGTCGGGAGTGTGTGATAAAGGTGTTTTATAAAAGTGTTGATGTCTCTGGAAAATGACACTTCTATTAAATAAGCTTGCAGGGATAGGCAATTTAAACCTAAAGAGCTCCAGAAAGCTAAAGTGCTTTAATGGGACATTATAGTCACCAAAACAACTTTAGCTTAATGAAGTAGTTTTTGTGTGTAGATCATTCCACTGAAGTCTCACTGCTCCATTCTCTGTCATTTAGGAGTTAAATCACATTTGTTTCTGTTTATGCAGCCCTAGCCACATCTCCCCTGGGTGTGATTCACATAGTCTGCATAAAAAAAAAATTGTTTCACTTTCAATCAGATGTAACTTTAAAAATGTTATCTCCTACTCTCTAAATTGAACTTTAATTACTTACTGGAGGCTCCTGCAAGGTCTACCATACTATTGGCAGTGCTGGAGATAAGAAATTCTAAATGAAACAGAATTTGCAATAAAGGGAGTATAGACATTAGATGACTCTTTACAGGAAATGTTTAAGAAGGCTGTGTAAGTCACATGCAGAGAGATGTGACTAGGGCTGCATTAACAACTCCTAAATTACAGAGAATTGAGCAATGAGACTGCATGGCCGTGAACTATACACCAAAACAGCTTCATTAAGCTAAAGGTTTGTGCCTGTGCAGGCTGTCTAGGGATAAATTCTGTCATGACTCCAGGTTCCACCTCTCAATGCTGCTAGGGCCCTGAGTGTGTTAAAGAGTCCCAAAATAGTCCTAAGGTAAGCAGCAGAGCTGTAGCCTCCTTGGTGACTGTATGTTTGTCTTCACCTTTGAGAAACTGGAGTGAGCAAAACAGTTATTATCTATATTTAGTGATGTCCCCATAAACATAAACTTTGACCCTGTACCTCACAGTCAGCAGACACATTCCAGCCAATCAGCAGCAGCTCCTGGACCCTCCCACCTCCTGGACAGCTCACTAAGAATGCAGCTTCACAATGAATGTAAAATGGATGCTGTCCAGGAGGTGGGAGGGTCTGCTGCTGATTGGCTGGAATGTGTCTGCTGACTGTGAGGTACAGGGTCGAAGTTTATGTTTATGTTCGCCGTCCGCGGCAAACCGTTCGGCGAACCGTTCGGGACATCACTATCTATATTGTATGCCATGCTTCCTGAGGAGCGTGTTGAACAGTTGTAGGGAGCGTCACCATGTCAGTGTGCCTCCAGAGAGGTCCGCATAGAAGGTGAAAGACATTGTTTTGAAATTGTAAGGCATTTGTCCCTTCATGGCTGCCAACACTGCCACTTTGTCTCGCGCCACTGTAGCCACTGCTTTGGGTGATATAGGTATTCGAAAGCATCCATCCAGTCCCACCACTTTTGCTTGCCTCAGGATCAGGGTCGTATTAAGATAGGTTCCGAGGGAGCTGCAGCTCCAGGCCCAAGCCCATGGAATAGGCCCACTGATATATAAAAAAAAAATAATAATAATTTTCTTACACACTGCTCTTAGGGTTGCCAGGTATTTCTCAGAAGTATTTCTCAGGTATTTGAGGCTGCCTAGGCAGTGCCGGTATTGCAGTAATACTGACAATACAAATGTCAGTCTCCGTATAAACAGAGTTTCTTACCTGTCAGTCTCTTCATTTACCTGTCAGAGCACTCTGGTTGGATGGCTTAAACCCACCAATCAGAGTGCTCTGAGCCTAATTGCAGGGCGGGGCAAGGCTTTATTATGGCTTTTTGTTTGGCCTTTTTTGGGGCTGAAAAACGAATATTAAATCAGGAAACTGTAACTTAATTATCTCTCAGTTACAGGGAAACATACAAAATATATTCACAATCCCCCAAAAGTACCTCCAATTTTCACAGGAACCCCACATGTATTATATCCCCGGATAGCCCAGCTCTTAGCCCCCAAGTTGACCAAATAGCACTCAGATCCATTCTGTAAAAGAGAATTGCCACTGGGGCCGGCCGGCCATGAGGTCGAAGCCCAAAACAGTTCCAAAGTGGGGCAATGGTCGGTCTTAATTCAGGAGTTCCTGTATGAATACTGTATCCCCTTGCTTCCAGGGAGTGAATGCTCCCCCAGGTTGATGATCTCTTTCTCCCAAAGAGCACTCTCCTAGCTGGTCAAGGCACGGAGCAGGTAGTGGTACAGTTTCCCCAATGTTTGCAGGGTCGTCTATCTGAAAAGGGTTCCATGCGTTCAACGACCCCGTCCTGCTACCTGTGTTCGGGAGACAAAATGGCCACCATTCCTTCGTCCACATGCGTTCGATTATGCCAAATGGCTATCCAGGGTAAGGACTCACTAGTTGGTTCCTTTGCGGTTAAAGGACCACTCTAGGCACCCAGACCACTTCAGCTTAATGAAGTGGTCTGGGTGCCTGGTCCAGCTAGGGTTAACCCATTTTTTTTATAAACATAGCAGTTTCAGAGAAACTGCTATGTTTATGAATGGGTTAAGCCTTCCCCCATTCCCTCTAGCGGCTGTCTCATTGACAGCCTCTAGAGGCGCTTGCGTGCTTCTCACTGTGATTTTCACAGTGAGAGCACTCCAGCGTCCATAGGAAAGTATTGATAATGCTTTCATATGTGACCGGCTGAATGCGCGCGCAGCTCTTGCTGCCCGTGCGCATTCAGCTGACGGGGAGGAGAGAAGGAGGATCAGAGGAGGAGAGCTCTCCGCCCAGCGCTGGAAAAAGGTAAGTTTTTACCCCTTTCCCCCTTCCAGAGCGGCGGGAGGGGGACCCTGAGGGTGGGGGCACCCTCAGGGCACTATAGTGCCAGGAAAACGAGTATGTTTTCCTGGCACTATAGTGGTCCTTTAACACATAAGGGGATGGTCGGTGTTCAAGTGTTCTAACAAGTTGCCGGGTAAGATAACTCCCGAACGTAGTAAAATTCAAACAGTCCCAAAAAATGGTACGTTCCACCACACCCAAGATTGCTTATATTCTCTTTCTAACACACTTAAAGTTATGCATCTTTTGTACTGTATCATTTGTATGGGGTCCGGGCTAGGGTTAGGGATGAGGGCAAGTTTACTTTCATGTTAGCAGGGCTGGGGAATACATGCCTGAAAATAGCTGCTCCTACCTGCGCCTACCATCATTAATTCATCTCTTTGTCTGATGGTGATTTGTCGGCGGAGAAACCAGGGAAGAGAATCACACTTTCATTGTTCCCTCAACTCCTATCCCACTTTATCTTTTTTTTTTTAATTTTAAATTTTTTTTTTTTTTACTTAAATCACTGGTGTGATGGCTGTACGAGGTACACATATGAACAGTTAGGCCACGCAATGATAGGCATAATTCAACAGATAATGACAATTTGTAGTTAATGCAATTCTAGTGACTTGAGGGTTTTGGTATATATGAAAATGCTATGCTAACAACATCATTAATGTGCCTTTCGCTGGTAGTGAAAATTAGACTAGAAAGTTATTATTGGCACTCTATTGCTTGACAAATAAAATAAGAGAAATATAAAAAGAAACAGCAGGAAATGAGAGTAGAATCATATAACTTGACTAAGGCTCGGGAGCCAGCAATGAAATATTGAAACAGATTGTAGTGCTCGAATGTTGTGTAACCCTGACCGTAGACCCAATATTTTTGGAAAGATTATTTTGGAAAGATTATTGCTAGGTGGTTGGGGTCTGGTATATATAAAGTATGCCTCGAGACGTAAAATAGTCATAAGATCTATAGATTAGTGAATCTTGAGGCAGGGGGGTTGGATGTTGGTCAGTAATTCAACCCATCTTATAGCAGGGTACATTTCAGCATATGGTATTGAACTGTATGGTGTACAGTTGAACACCACTAACATGGTAAAACAGACTAACTATATTTATAATATGGTAAACAAATCTAACTATAAGGGCAATGCAGTGTTTCAAGTGGTGGCTGCTGCATAGGTATTAGGGAAGGCCGGTTGGGGCAGGAACGGGGTAATGTTCACTGGGTCTTATCTGTGGGTCGGTGTAGGTGCTTGAGGTGGGCCGGACTGCTTCCGAGAGTCTTGTGGGAGACCAAGGGTCTCCAGGAGGGTCGCTGCTCTCTTTAAGTCTTAAACTGGGTAAGACGAGTTGCCTTGCAGGACCATGGACATGCGGGATAGGCACCATCTGTAAAGAATACACCAATCTCGAAGCAGCGCTGTGAAGTGTTGGAGAGATCACCGCCATACCAATGTGCCACTGGAAAGATCTGCATCGAAGGTGCCTACCGGAGAAGATCTCCAATATGCATGCCCAATCCAATATGCACCCCCCCCCCCCCATGCTGTATCATTTTAAGGAGTAGGCTGCATTAAAATAGAAGAAGCTGGATATGGCATTTGCTTTTTAAGAATATAATCCCCACTAATCCTACGCAGACTAGGATATATATGTATATCACTACACAGCCCTGAGTTTACAGAACCCTCTATTACATTGTATCAATCATATTTTATATATACTTAGAACATTTCCCCTCTCTATACCTTTATACTTTTTTAGAAAAGTCCTCTCTGCCCTTGTTTCATTTATTTGGAACAAAAAACCTGCTAGGATTAAATTATGCATTTTACAAAAACCAAGGATTGGGGGAGGTATGTGTTTGACAGATTTTATTAATTACTACTATGCGAGTAATGCAGCAAATTTAATTTAGATAACACCAGGCCCCAATGGCTTGAGAAGGAGGCAAATAATGGAGAGTATAAAAAAACATTGTCATGTAATCATATAGATCATTTCATTTACTGATGCAAAATGTAACCCAAATTTAATATAGCTTTTGGTTCCTCAACTCATTATACTTCCACAATGTTGTTTTAGTATCCTCAGCCAAAAGATTAGTTGTGCTGTACCTGAACTCATTAATACGACCTCTGCCATTAATGGTCTAAACTTTGGATAACCTCACATTGGTAGGTTGCATATAGATGATCTGATACTCTGCACTGAATGTTTGTAATATGGTTCTTAGAAATTCTTATCTCATGCACAAAGTGTGGACTGATTTGCTTTGCTTGTATTGGAGGGTCATTAAGATCTCTGCAAACTATAATTAAGGAAAGATACATACCGATATATTTAAGAACAAAAGGTTATCACATTTAATCTCCAGAAAGGGTTATCAAATGGAATACCTTCTAACTTGTTAGAAAGTAATGTGGCTATTTTTAATATAGCCTTGGCAGGTCCCTGGAATTAGTTTGAGAAATCCACAGCGTGTTCATTCTTTGAGGTACATATTTGTTGAGTAAGTCATACCAAATTAAATGTTCAACATAAGAAAAACTATCCGACATGGTGTTCTTATATATGAATATCGCTGTTAGTTGGCTTCTCTAAACGCTTTGACATGTGCTAAACCTTAGTGGCACGTGATTTTTACTAACGATTTAGGCTTTGTTCAACAGAAGGTACTACGGTCATCTAACCCAGGGCCGGTGCGTCCTATAGACGACTTAGGCAGTCGTCTAGGGCGCACCAGCCCAGGTGTGCAAGATTCGAGTGACCCAACAGGAGCGAAGTCACTCAGTGTAGCGTAGCCAGGTGACACAAACCACGGTATAGGAGCGTCTGTTTCCGGTACCTGGCCTGTCTGAAAGGAAGTGCCCTCTCAAAACTAAACAATTAACCCCTTAGTGACCAGACCGTTTTAAATTTTCTTACCGTTAAGGACCAGGGCTCTTTTTACATTTCTGAGGTGTTTGTGTTTAGCTGTAATTTTCCACTTACTCATTGACTGTACCCACACATATTATCTACTGTTTTTCTCACCATTAAAAGGGTCTTTCTAAAGATACCATTATTTTTATCATATCATATAATTTACTATAACAAAAACTATAAAATATAATGAAATTTTTTTTAAAAAATACACTTTTTCTAACTTTGACCCCCAAAATCTGTTACGCATCTACAACCGCCAAAAAACACTCGTGCTAAATAGTTTCTAAATTTTTAAAGCGTTTAGAAATACTCAATGTTAACATGTTCTTAGCTTTTTTTGGAAAGTGTTAGGGCAATAAGTACAAGTATCACTTTGCTATTTCCAAACCATTTTTTTTTTTTTTTAAATGAACGCAAGTTACATTGTACCACTGATATCTGTCAGGAATCCCTGAATAACCCTTCACGTGTATATATTATTTTAAAAGAAGACAACCTAAGATATTAAACATTGGGTATTTTACCACCAATCTATGCCAAATAAAAAAAAAAAAATAATAATAATTGGTGATTTTCTTGACACACATAGCAATTTAAGAATACATGTACGGAGAACTTTAAGGGTTACTGCCAAAGAACTGTCAGGATTTCAAGTTGATCCAGCACGTAGTACTGTGTTACACCTAGGACTAAGGATAACATATAACCGGACCTTAGAATGGCCAGACTTAACGTCTCCAAGAATAGTCAAAATACTTACCGAGGTCAGGAACACAGAATCAGACACAAAGATGAGGGAAAGTCAAAAGTCAAGGATACCAGAAATCAGGGAAGTCAAAACAAATCCAAAGTCAAATACCAGAAAATCAAGATTAGGAACGCACTCTCGGATAACCATAGGTATGAAACCATGACAGGGCTGTGGCGAAACCGGCCTCGCCACGTGTCCTTGGAGGGGGCTGCTTGCCCGCCTCTTGCCTTTGGACTATGGACCAGACTTTATGTGAATGTGTTATACCCCAGATAGGAATCCCATGGAGCCCATTCGTATGAAACTGACTGTAAAGACTTTGGCTCCATGGCGATTAAACTGTATTTGTGTGGTCCGAGCGCCATTCACTTAATAATGTGCGCTCAGACCTGAGCTATCTGGGGATATGTGAAATGTCTGTGTGTTATGTGTAAAATGTGACTTTATGTATTTTAAAGTGTTTTGTGTCTTTTTGCAACCATGTGCTTAATGGAGTCTTGTGTCTGTCCTGGGAGATAATTGAATTACTTATCTCCAGGATAGAAGACTCTGAAACTGGTTTGGGCCAGAAAGCCATGCTTCATTTAGTCACAAAGGACTTTTTACTAACTTTTGAACCCCTTGTCTGATTTGTGCCATTTTTGAATATGTTGTTCCCCTGAATGGATTGATTGTGAATATGTAATTTTATGTGAATGTGATGTATGGTTTTGGAGTTATGAAAGTTGGGTAGAAAGTATGTTTTAACTGTATGTATAATTGAGTTTCCTCTCAGGATAAGGGGAGGGAATATGTGGGATGTAACTGTGATGTGATTGGTTGTTTTATACCTCCCTGTGGGCGGTCCTGTATTTGCAAGACTGTAATAAAAACCAGGCTGGGTGTGCCAGCACCTGAGTTCCTGTTTTAACCCTCAAAGTGAAGTGTCGTCTCATTATTGGGGGAAGGATTTATTGTATGCTGTTCCAGTTTGACTGCTAGGAGAGTAAACCTATTCGTAGGGTTCCTATTCAACTGTCTACAGCATTCATATGCTTGAGAGGATTCATATGCTCTGCTTCTCCGGTTCGGTGGTTGTGGTGTCTGCTGCAGTGCTTGGAGTCCTCAGGAAGCGCTAGGAGCATCTTTCAACGGAGGTACCCAGTCGGGGTGCCAGGCGATCCGTTACATTGGTGGCAAGCGGTGGGATGGCGTCCTAGTGCGAGGTAAAGCAGCTCAGAGACACAGCCGTTTGGATTTACAAATTGAAGGCGACGCTAGGGTTTATACAGCGTCCCTGTCTACATAAAGATTTGGGAAAATGGGGTTTGTGGATCCTTGGGCACCTCGCACACCTGAGGAAGAGGGTGAATTGGACTGGAGAGATATTGCCCGGCAAGAACTATGGTACAATGCCCTGGAGGAAGTCCAGTATCAACGGCAGCAGCGCCTTCCTGGTGTCGCATACCGGTTGGAGGAACAAATGGCCTGGCGGATGCCGCTTCTGGGAGACCAACCCGGAGGGCAGCAGGTCAGACAACTTGAGTACCTCGTGGAAAGGGAACTGAGCCTTGACGCCTCATACCGGGCACTGTGGTGGTGCACTGTCCAGCCAGAGACATGGAGGGCAGAGGGCATCCAGCCGGAGGGGGAGAACTACACTAGCCCTGGCCTGTTGTGGAAGGCCTTAGCAGAAGACGTCGACTTTGGCAGTCCAGCAGAGTCACGGTACTGGGCTATTTTTTATTACCGGGGTGAGATGGTACAGGGCCCGAGATCTATGGGACTGGGACAAGACCTCCACCGTTTGGCTGCCATGGAACGACAGCTAGAGATGGACTATGTGGAACTACTAAACTCATGTCAGCCACAGGGCATAGACACAGAACAGGAAAACTGGCTGGGAGACCCAGACCTGCCAACCTACAGCTGGGAAAACGCAGCCGAGGTACCCCCTGCTTCACTACCAGCGGCAGAAGTAGGGGACCTCATAGACTGGTCCTGGGAAGACCCACAGATGGCAGGTGGAGATGGGATGGCGGTCTCTCTACCGGCCCTACAGGGATGCTGGGCGGTCGGCCCAGATCTCCAGCGGCAGTGTGTACCCCAGGGAGCAGAAGGTGCAGTCCTTCCTCCCCAGCGGCAGTGTGTACCCCAGGGAGCAGAAGGTGCAGTCCTTCCTCCCCAGCGGCAGTGTGTCCTGCAGGAAGCGGAGACAGTCGGTCTCGCTCCCCAGCAGCAGGGCAATATATTAAAAGGGGAGACAGTTGGTCCCCCTCTCCAACAGCAGAGAGAGTGTCAGGGAGAGGAGCTTGTTATCCCCTCTCCCCAGCGGCTGAAAGTATGTATGGGAGAGGAGCTTGTTACCCCCCCTCCCCAGCGGCAGCGTGTACCCCAGGGAGATGAAGGTGCCGTCCTTCCTCCCCAGCGGCAGTGTGTACCCCAGGAAGCAGAGACCATCTGTCTCGCACCCCAGCCGCAGGACAAAATATTGAAAGGGGAGACAGTTGGTCCCCCTCTCCACCAGCAAAGAGAGTGTCAGGGAGAGGAGCAGGTTACCCCCTCTCCCCAGCGGCAGTCTACAGTTCAGAGAGAGGAGCTTGTTACACCCTCTCTCCAGCGGCAGCCTAACCCACCAAGGGGAGATGTTAAGCCCCACAACTATGCAGATGGGACCGTAGTCTCTGCACTTGCAGCCCCAGGGGCAGGGACGGTCAGTCCTGTCCCCCAGCCACAGAGCAGTGTATCCAGAGGGGAGACAGTCGGTCTCCCCCTCCCCCAACCAGGCTCC